CAGAGTCAAAAGAAAAAAATGGAAGAAAATGTGAAATATGTCATAGGAAAAAGAGAGGTAGGCAGTACAGTGAATAAAGCACTGGGCCTGGATTTAGGAAGATTTGAGTTCAAATCCTGCCTCCACCTGGACTGTGACCCTGGGCAATCACTTAAGCTCTGTTTTACCCAGCTTCCTCAGCTGTGTGGCTCAGTTGCGATCAACTCTTCATGACCCCAATGGGGATTTTCTTGGCAAAGATGCTCGAGACGTTTGCCAATGCCTTCTCTGGCTCATCTTTACAGAAGGGTTTGAAACTGAGGCAAACAGGGTCATGACTTGCCCAGGGTCACATAGCTATTAAGTGTCTGAGGTCAGATTTGAACTCAGGTCTTCTGGACTTGTGTTCTATCCACTGGTATCACCTAGCTGCCCCTCACCGAGCTACAAAATGAGGATACTACTAGCCTATCTCCAAAGACTGTTGGGAGGATAAAATGAGATGTTTGTAAAGCATAGTGCCTGGCATATAGTAGGTGCTACATAAATGCTACTTACTGTTACTACTGTTATTATTATTAGCATCATTATTAAAAAACAACTGACCTGGAAAACAGATTGGGGAGGGGATAGCTTAAAAATCAATGAATTAGCTGAACGCCATGAACAAAAAAAGAGCCCAGACAAATTTCAAGAAATCATAAAAGAAAACTGCTCAGATATCTAGGAACTAATCAGTTAATAAACAGAGAACCAAAGGACAAGGTAGAAACTGAAAGAATCTATCAGTCACCTAATGAAAGAAACCCCAAAATCAAAACTCCCAGGAACAGCACAGCCAAAATCCAGAGCTCCCAGGTCAAGGCAAAAATATCACAAGTGGCCAGAAAGAATTCAAGTGCTGTACTGAGCAGCCAGAGGTCAGGATTATACAAGACTTCACAGCCGCTTTAAAGGAATATAATATTCCTTTAGCTTGGAATAGATATTTCAGAAGGCAAAGGATCTCAGCTTACAACGAAGAATAACTTACCCGCAAAACTTAGTATAATTCCATGGGGGTGGGGATGGAGGGAATGGATCTTTAATGAAATAAAGGGACTGCCAAACATTCCTGATAAAAAGACCAGAGTTGTAGAAAATCTGACATGGAAGTACAGACATCAGGAGAAGTACAAAAAGCTAAACATGAGTGAGAAGTCAGAAGACACTATGATACAAAGGAGAGGTGAACTAATTAGAAAGAGTGCCAGATTGTGATTCTATTGTGTTTGGACGATCTCAAAAGAAGAATGAAAGGGCGGGGAAGAGGGATGCACTGGGAGATGGAAGAAAGGGAGGAAGAATGGAGGCAATTACCTCACGTAAATGAGGCACACAAGAAATTTTTACAATGGAGTGGGGAGAGGAATGGGCCACACATGAGCCCCACTCTCATCTGAACCGCTTGCGTGGTTTGTTCTTTGTTCTCCAAGAGAACCATGACATCAGGGAGATGAGGACATGGTGTGCAATTAAAGACCACCCTCAGTGACATGGGATTCTCAGGCAGGAACAGAGCCAGACTCAGCTGCTGTGTCCTCCACTGCTCCCAGCATCCTCCCAATAGATGGCGGACACAAGCACTTTCTTGGTATCTACAGAAGGTCAAACTGTGCCCAGCACCTTCCCAGAGAAGCACTCTGGAAGCCCTCACAGAGAACACGTGCACTCCCCAAGCACCAGAGCGACTCTCAGGCCTGAGATGGCATTCACTTCTCTGTCTAGCCTAACTGAAGGAACCAGCTACTCCATACGACTGTCTCCTCATAGGGGAACATGAGAAGCATTGCCATGACTGGAGCCTCCAGACAAGCCCAGCTGCACCTCCTACCCCAGAGCCCACACCTCCTGAGGGGGGCGTTCCCTCTACTGCACCAAGGACAGTGAAAAATTACAGAGCAGTCTGGCCTTCCCCAGTACCCCAGTGCAGGAGGCCAACGGACCAGGTAGCCCTGCAGCCTCAGATACCAGCACACTCAGCCCAGGGAAGTTTGTCCTGCTGAGAGCACGACTAACCCCATGAAAAGTCCTGTGGGAGAGCCTAGGCCAGAGCTAGCTGTCTACACCACTCCATCCTACACCCCAGGTATTACAGAGACTAGGCCTGGACTTATTAGAATGTTTGTGCAAACAGGACTGTGTCATAGTTCGTTACCTAGCAATAGTCCCTCAACACAAGTATAAATAAGCTCTACCAGTCAGTTGCTTTACTGGTTGGACCTTTCCTGAATTTACAACCTCCCTCCCTCCCTCACCTACTCAATCCCATAGTATAGCCCACGAACCTACCAGTTCTACTTTTTTCATAAGTAAGTAGACTTCTAATTAAACCTCTAATTGAAACTTTTTTCATAAGTAGACTTTTTTTTTAGGCAATTGGGGTTAAGTGACTTGTCCAAGGTCTCTCAGCTAGTAAGTGTCAAGTGTCTGGGGCCGAATTTGAACTCGGGTCCTTCTGATTCCAGGGCCGGTGCTCTATCCATTGCACCACCTAGCTGTCCCTTATCCCCATTTTATAGGTGAGAAAACTGAAGCAGACATAGATTAAATGACCCTCCCAGGGCCAACTTAATCTAGTAAGTATCTGAGGCTGTATTTGAATGAACTGAGATCTTTCCGATTCCTGATTCAGCACTCTCTCCACTTGCCACAAGAATCTCCTTTTGTTGGCATTTCTTTCTTTGGACCTCTGTTTTGAGCCATTTTACAGCCCTGTTTACTCCCTTATAGTAAAATCCTAGTGGCCCTTGTGCTAAGTTCACTTTCCTTTTTTTTTTTTGTGAAATGCTGACATTTTCAATGATTCTAACAAATGTAAGGACTGCGCAGTGGTGAGAACGGACTTTGGCAGGGGAGTTTTCTGCAACTAGTATGTGGGAAGAAGGAACAGAAAAGTACAATTTGGGAATTACAAAAAGTACATATAGGGACAACATTTTTCATAGTGCTTCACATAGTAGATCCATCCATTCTTTTTTTTTAACATTCATTTTTAAGTTTTGAGTTCCAAATCCTCTCCCTCCTTTCAGCCTGTCCCCAGACTTCAATTTGAGTGAGGGAGGGCTGTGCCAAGTCACCAGCCTCACTTTCTCCTCCATAGCCATCTGGGTCCAGTGGCCATTTATTAATCAGGACAACTGGAGATGGCCCAGGATGCAAGTGGGAGACCTTGGCACTTTTAAGCTAAGGTCTCTTCAAGTCCTCACTTTGACTCACAGGCAACACCCATTCAGTGAACAGGCCTCTTTAAGAAGTGAGTCAAGGGATGGCCCCTTTAATAAAAATAAATCAAACTAGGAGGGGAAGACCCTCAGGGCTGCTGGCCAAAAGAGAAATAGTTACTATTTACGTTCATTCTGAGCCAGGAGGGCCCAAATATAATCATTAAGGGGTGCTTGGGCAGGGACCTATTGTTATCCAATCCATGAGATCCTAAGTAAACTGGATTTAAAACTTGATCTTTGAGAAAGAAATCTAGCCAGTAAACCCCAAGTTAACTGGGAAACTTTTGGCCATCAAAATTTACCTTCCTTTGGGCAGAACACCCTCAGGTGAGGAGAACAGAGGAAGAGAGGAGAGGAGAGGAGAGGAGAGGAGAGGAGAGGACAGGAGAGGAAAGTAGGTGAAGGGAGAGGGGAGGAGGAGCTGAGTTGGCCAACTGGAACTGGCCAGCTGGGTCCCCATTCTGGCAGCTTGGACCACTCACAGGTTGTGGTTTGTCCTTCATTCTTGAAGAGGACCATGACCAAATCAAAATCAATTCCAAGTCATATCATCTGAACTGATTAAAGGAGGAAAGAATACACAACACACATATTTGGGCACAGAAATTCATCTTAACCAACAGAAAAGTAGGAGGGGAAGGAGTTAAGGGGAAGGAAGGAAAATAAGAGGGAGGGCAGATTAAGTCAGAAGCAAAACAAATTCTTAAAGAGGGGACAAGGGAAAAAAGAGAAGGAAAAGAGTAAGAGAATAGGATGGAGGGAAACACAGCAATCATAATGGTGAAAGTGATGAACTCACCCATAAAACTGAAGAGGATAGCAGATGGATCAGAAATGAGAATCCAACAATATATTGTTTACAAGATGCCCTTGAAAAGGGGATGGTTTCAAAAAAACCTGGGAAGATTTGTATGGACTGATAAAAAGTAAAGTGAGCAGAACTAGGAGAACAATTTATACAATAAGAACATTATCGTAAAGGCAATCAACTTCGAAAGACCTAGGAATTCTGATTAACATCACTAATTGTAATTCTGAAGGATTCATGATAAAACATGATATCCACCTCCAGAAAGAGAAATGATGGCTTCAGGGTGCCAATTTTCTTTCTTTTGGACATGGCTAATGCAAGAATTTTTTCTTTTGCCTGACTAGAATACGTATGTGTAATGAGCTTTGTTCTTCTTACCTTCTCAGTAAGTGGTGGAGGGAAAAAGGAGAATTTGGAACTGAAAATAAAAATTTAATTAAAAAAAACTAGGTGCTCTTTCAAAGAAACTTATGCCTTCCCATCTTGTACTTGTCAACGTCATTCTATAAAAACCCAAGTGCAGAACTTTATATTTATCACTATTAAATTTTCTTATTTTACTTGGCCCTTCTGACTCCTGTTATCTGATATGTTAGCTTTCCCTGTCAGACACCTGACATCTTCACATTTGACATAGAAGCCTTTCCTAATACCCACTAATGCTAATGCCTTCCTTCTATTGATTTTCTCCAATTTAGACTGATTACATCTTGTTGTTTGCATGTTTTCTCCCCCATTAGACTCTGAGTTCCTTGAGAGCAGGGCCTGATTTTTGCCTCTCTTTTTATCTGCGGTACTTATTACAGTATCTAGCACATAGCAAGCCTTCAATTATTAACTGACTTTCCTCTCATTCTAAGAGAGGAGTCAAATAGTGTCACCAGAATCAGATTAAAATGGAATTGGGAAATAATTAGCAAAATAAAAACATAACAAAACATAGATAATATCAACATGTGGTATTCGAAGTCAATATGAGGCCTACAGGGGTCCTTATGTATGAGTTAATGCCCTCCCCCTTTCTATTTGAGTTTGACACCACTGTTCTATCACAAACTCCAAGTAGTAGTGACCTTGCCACAAAGTTCTCATGACATCCATTCAAGCAACTGTTGCCTTTCTGTTAGAATCAGATCCTGATCAGTATTTTCCCTCACCAGTTTCCCCACCTATTGTTGAGTTATTTTTCAGTCTTGTCCAACTCTTTGTGACCCCATTTGGCTCCTTCTTGGCAAAGACACTGGAGGGGTTTGCCATTTCCTTCATCTATTATAAGATGAAATTATTATTAAGGCAAACTGCAAAATTATAATTTACACTGCTTTGCCAGAGAGGGTTCCAGCACATGTCTGGATAATTTCAGTCCCCATCAGTTTCCTCTTTCTGTCCAGGAGATGTTGACTTCAATGGTGCAGCAGCTTTAGTTTGTCAGTGTTCTTCACCCGAATGCTCTGCACTATGCTTCTCTCTTCTGGTTCCTGGAATTCCTCATCCATACATTTTCATAACAGAGCCAGAAAGTCAACCATTTTACCTGTTTCTTTCAAGTAAAGGATCCAGTGCGAAGCCACATTCTAGTCATTGGTTTCCTTTCATCAATTTCCAGTGATAACTGTGAAGTCAAATGTCCATACTTTTGTTTGCCTCACTCCACCTGATTTGTTCTTTATCCTCATCATGACCTTCAATCATTCTGCTTTTTCATTGATCATCTAATTTTCCTACCTTCACAGTCTTGACCCTGGATTTCAATTCCAGTGTTCTCAGTGAACAGTCTGCCCTCTTGTTTGATTACTATCCATGACTTGCCAAATGGAAGTGAGATTTTTTGTGTGACTTCACTCTTATTCATGTCCTGCTGAATACTGATGGAGGAGTTATACAAGCACACTGACAGGGCCAGTAACAATGGGAACCTTGGATATATGTGAAAATAGGAAGGTGTGGGGGTGGCAGGATGTGTAGGAAGGGTAAACGGGGAGTGTGCAAAGGAAAAGGTGAGAAGCCACATTTCAATACTTCAATGAATCTACACAATTCACTAGATATTTACTAAGTATCTTATTTGAGCCACACACTAGGCTAGGTCCTGGTAACATAAAGACAGAATTCAAAGCCCTAAGGAACTTACTTTCTGTACAACATTTATATACATAAATAAATGAAGACTTGAAGATATGGAATTCAGGAAAAGCTTCCTTTGGATCAGTGGTTCTTAATATAGGGCCAACCATATATAGATTTCAAGGGGTCCATGAACTTTGGTGGGGAAAAATACATCTTATTTCAATATAATTAGTTTCCTTGGTGATCTTATGTGTTTTATTTTGTGCATTTAAAAAACATAATTTCAAGAAGGGTTCCATAAGCTTCAATGCTTTTAAACTGATCCATTTCACCAAAAAGGTTAGGAACTTCTTGCCTTAAGGGGTGGCATATGAAACAACTGGAAAAAAGAAAAGAGGAGTAAATTCAAGGCATGGGGATGAGACTGTGCAAAAGCACAGAGGCAGATGATATAAGGTCAAATTCAGTGTACTACAAGATCAGTTTGACTCTGAAGTGCATGAAGGAGAAAATGTAAAATTAGCCTGGAAAGGTTGGGATTAGATTTCAAATGCCAAGCTGTGGAGAAAACACTGAAGGTTTTAAAGAGAGTAATGTGATCAGTTCTGTTCTTCAGAAAGTTAATTGTAATAGTTGTGGGGAGGATAAATTGTAGAGAAGACAGAACTCAAACTAAGAGGCTGCTGTAATAGTCTAGGAGATAGGATGAGGTCCTGTACTAGGCTAGCAATGTTGTGAATGTAGAGAGGATATCAACACGAGAGAGGGAAGATCTACATGACACAGCAATTGATGAGATATGGGGTGAAGAGGAGACACTGAATAAGATTCCGAGGCTGTTAATCTGTTTAAGTGGAAAGATGGTATTTAATGAACAGAGGAAGGTGACAAAGCCTGCTAAGAGAAATAGACTGATGCTATATTAAAGATAGGGGATGACTGCTGGAGTAGGAAGGAGAGGACTGCATAAAGGCACAAAAAAAGAAATGATCTTTTTAAGGAGTTAGGTTAACAATTCTGGTGATTGGAAAGATGAGAAGCCTCAGAATTTTTTATGAGTGGCAGTTAGAGAGTGAACAGCTGCCTTATTGCTTCAGTTTTCTCAAATGTTTAAGTAATATTTGCATTACAAATGAATGGTGGGAAGTGAAAGGGGACAGGGAGGGGGAAATGTTTGAATGGGCCACTGAGTGAAAGTAGACACAAATTTTCTTCATTTAAAATTTCAAGTCTCTAATTTTCAATAAAGGACCATAAAATTCTGACTGAAATGCTTCTGTTATACTCATAATATTTCTCTCCAATAGGATTATCTGATTTTCCGTAAGCTCTGTGCCCCGAAAAAGAGCTTTCCACATTCATTGTATACCCCTTTTTCTTTTAATGATCATGGTATAACGCCTGTCATTTTACCCGGCAGACTGAGTCCCAAAAGGGACACTGGCTACTTTTCTACAAGGATAATGTTGAAGGGTTGGGAGACACCACTGGTTTACTTCCCTGACTGCTGATTAACAGAGGATACAAATTAGCTTTTAGAAAGGGCTATTTACCAAAGTAAGAACAGTTGGTATAAAGCACTCCCCCACAAAAGCAGAGTTCAGGGGAAGGTGGGCTCGAGCTTAAAAAGCACATGTGGCAAAGCAGTCACTTACAGCTCCTGTTTGCTACTCTTTGTGGTATCCTGATGCAGTTCCCCTTAGGCTCCTTGCAGAGCCCTCAAGACGTCCTTCTTCCATATGTCTAGTTCAGTCCTATCTCCTGATGCAGATGCTGCTCTCAGTCACTGCTGCTTCAGGGATCTCGTCAGGGCACTGGTGAAGAGTCACAAATCTTCTGACCTTTTGGAAGTGCTTGAGGCCCTTTTCTAGTTCATGGGGAGGAAAAAAGGAAATAGAGGGTGTCTCCTCCCACTCTGAAGTCATTTTCAGGGTTTTGGCTGAAGCGGCTTCCCTGAATAAGATGTTCCAAAACTAAAAATCCAGATTCAGAATTTGGCTTGCTCTTCTATCCAAGACTTTTATCCACGTTCATGACTGAATTTTTTAGCCATTTCCAAAAAACTTCCCATTTAATATCATGTCATTTCATCCAGTGAATTGCATTCCTTCCAAACTGATTAAGGACTTTTGGCAACTAGTTTAGTGCCAGATTGATTCAATAGAGAAGTTCTCAACTAATGAAAGTATCAGGGCTGGAGAATTATGTTGTTAATATTTTAAGCAAGGTGAGGTAGAGTAGGGTGACTGATTGATTCAGTTGACACCCCCCCCTCCCCTTACAGCATAAATAGTTGAGTAAGTTATTTACTTTGGAAATACACCATTCCTCAATCATTATATCCATAAAGTTTCTCACCAGCATGAATTCTCTGATGTTGAGTAAGCTGTGCTCTCAGGCGGAAGGACTTTGAACATTCACTGCATTCATAAGGTTTCTCACCGGTATGAATTGTCTGATGTTTGGACAGGGCTATCCTCTGGCTGAAGGCCTTCCCACATTCATTACATTCATAAGGTTTTTCACCAGTATGAACTGTCTGATGTTGTGTAAGTGCTACCCGCCTGCTAAAGGCTTTCCCACATTCACTACATTTATATGGTTTCTCTCCAGTATGAATTCTCTGATGTTGAGTAAGTCCTGCCTTCTGGCGGAATGTCTTCCCACACTCATTACATTCATAAGGTTTCTCCCCAGTATGAATAGTCTGATGTTGAGTAAGCTCTGCTCTCAAGCGAAAGGCCTTCCCACATTCATTACATCCATAAGGCTTTTCACCAGTATGAATTGTCTGATGTTGAGTAAGTCCTATCCTCTGGCGGAAGGCTTTCCCACATCTATTACATTCATAGGGTTTCTCTCCAGTGTGAATTGTCTGATGTTGTGTTAGTCCTGTCTTCTGACGGAAGGCCTTCCCACATTCATTACATTCATATGGTTTCTCTCCAGTATGAATATTCTTATGTGCAGTAAGCAGTGCTCTTAATCGAAAGAATTTCCCACATTCATTACATTCATAAGGTTTCTCACCAGTATGAATATTCTTATGTGTGGTAAGTAATGCTCTCAGTCGGAAAGCTTTCCCACATTCGTTACATTCATAAGGTTTCTCCCCAGTATGAATATTCTTATGAGCAGTAAGCAATGCACTCAGGCGGAAGGCTTTCCCACATTCACCACATTTATAAGGTTTCTCCCCAGTATGAACTGTCTGATGTCGACTAAGTCCTATCTTCTGACTGAATGCCTTCCCACATTCATTACATTCATAAGGTTTCTCACCTGTATGAATTGTCTGATGTCGAGTAAGTCCCATTCTTTGGCGGAAAGCCTTTCCACATTCATTACATTCGTATGGTTTCTCTCCAGTATGAATTGTATAATGTCGATTAAGCTCCTTCTTTTTGGCCAAAGGCCTTTCCACATTCATTACATTCATACGGCTTGTCTCCAGTATGAATTGGAAAATGGGAAATAAATTGTTTTCTCTCACTGAAGGCCTGTCCACATTCATTATATTCATAAGGTTTCTTTTCAGCATGACTTTTTTGATGATAAGTAAGTTCTGTCAAGTACCTGAAAGTTTTTCCACATTCATTACATTTATAACATGCCTCACTACCATGAATTTTCTGATGTTGATAAAGCCCTATTCTGCGGCTGAAGGTTTTCTCACATTGATTACATTCATAAGGTTTCTCTCCAGTATGAGTTCTATAATGCTGTTTAAGATTTTGGCTTTGTATGAAAGCCTTCCCACATTCCTCACACTTAAAAGGTTTTTCACCAGTATGAATTGTTTGATGTTGGCTGAGTTTTCCTCTCAGTCGGAAAGCTTTCCCACACTGATTACATTCATAAGGTTTCTCACCACTATGTATTCTCTGATGTTGAATAAGTCCTATCCTCTGGGTGAAGGCCTTTCCACATTCATTACATTCAAAAGGTTTCTCTCCAGTGTGAATTCTATAATGTTGCTTAAGATTTTGGCTCTGAATGAAGGCTTTTCCACACTCATCACATTTAAAAGGTCTTTCACCAGTATGAATCTTCTGATGTTGCTTCAGCTGTGCTTTCAGGCGGAATGCCTTCCCACACACATTACATTCATAAGGTTTTTCCCCAGTATGAATAGTCTGATGTTGAGAAAGCTCTGATCTGTACCTGAAGGCCTTCTCACATTCACTACATTTGTAAGATTTCTCTCCAATATGCACTGCCTGATATTGAGTAAGTTCTGATCTGTTCCTAAAGGCCTTCCAATATTCATTATATTCACAAAGTTTCTCTTCACCTTCATTGAACTTACAAAATATCTTACTTGGACACACTGTATTCCGTATTCTTAAGTCTGAATTCACTCTGAAGCTCTTTCCTTGTGTATAACAATTACTGGGACCCTTTCCTACTTTTGGTTGTGGAAAACCTACCGGTCCTAGGTTGAAATTTCTGCAATAGTTATAGTCATGCCATTTCAATTTATTAGAATGCTTCTTAGGGGAAATTTTCACTTGCTGAGAATGTTTCACCTCATTGCTCTGCTTCCTCTTCAAACTACCAACACAATCCCAAGCTTCTTGTAACTTCAAGAAACAAGAACCATCCTTCGTGAGTTTTTCCTGAGATGGTTCTTCCATTGAAATATCCAGCTCCTGAACTGACTCCTTGGTTTCATGATTTGTCTCCCAATCTGAAAGAAATTTTTAAAATGTAAATATGCTTGCTGCCCCTGTTGTACACAAAGTTCTGTTATCTTTGTTTTCTATCAAGAACCATCATTATCTATAACTATTTTCTTCTAATTGCCATGTAATTTTCCTAGCACTTTCTGTCAAATTAAAAGAGGCCTCTTCCCCAATTAATAAATGATCAAAAGATAAAATCAGTTTTCAGATGAAGTAATTAAAGCTATCTATAGCCATATGAAAAAAAATTCTAACTCACTACTGATTGAAGAAATCCAAGTTAAAACAATTCTGAGGGACTACCTCATACCTATTAGATTCGATAACAGAACAGAAAAGGTAAATGACAAATGTTGGAGGGGATGTGGGAAAAATGAGACATTAATGTACCTTTGTCGGAGGTGTGAACTGATTAAACCATTCTATAGAGCAATTTGGAACTATGCCCAAAGGGCTATAAAAGTATGCCTACCCTTTAACATAGCAATGCCACTACTAGGTCTCTATCCCAAAAGAGATAAAAAACAAATGTACATATGTACTATTTCCATATGTACAAAAATATTTATAGCAGCTGTTTTCTGGGAGTAAAGAATTAGAAATTGAGGGGATACATATTAATTGGGAAATAGCTGAATAAGTTGTGGTGTGTAATTATGATGAAATACTATTGTACTATAAGAAAGGATGATCAGGATGCTCTCAGAAAAACCTGGAAGGACTTACATAGGTTGATGGAAAGTGAAATGTACTGGGTACAAAGTAACTGCAACACTGTAGGATGATCAGCTATGAATGACTTGGCCATTCTCAGCAATACAGCAATCCGTGACAACTCTGAAGGACTTAGGATGAAAAATGTTATCCATCCCCAGGAAAGAACTGATGGTGTTGGAATACAGATTGAAGCAACTTTTTTTTTCCACTTTCTTTATTTTTCTTGAATTTTTTTGTCTATGTTTTCTATCATAACATGACTATTATGGGTATGTTTTGCATGCCTACACATATATGGCTTATGTGGAATTGCTTGCCTTCTCAATGAAAGGTGGTGGGGAGGGAAAGAGGAAAAGAATTTGGAACTCAAAGTTTTGAAAACAAATGTTTAAAAAAACTTTTGTTTTGGTTTTTCACATGTAACTGGGGGAAAATTAAATACCAAATAAATACAAAAGACAGTCCTCTTCCATATGTTTGCTGTGTTCTTTGAATCCAACATAAGGTGCTGAATGCATTCCAATTTTTAACTACTGGCAGATAGTTCTACAATTACTGCTTTATCATATAATTGTGAATTCTTTTAATGCATAATGGACACTGCAATAAAGCATCTCCGATTATGATAGCAACCTGGCTGCTGACATCTAGTAAGTAGGCCCTCATATATTTGGAGCTAACTCCCACCCCTTCTAAGCCACAGTGACTTGGGCCTAGGACTTCTGGACCCCCTTTGGCCCAGCAGTGCCTCTGAGGAACCTTGGCCCTTGCCCTAATGGACTCATCCTAACAGCCCCTCAAATATGGATACAAAGACTTGGCTGGCTCCACATGATCAGATGGGGTGAGACAGAGGCTTTGGTCAAGGAAGAAAAACCCTCGGCTGTTCTAGTTCCAGATGTCCTTACACAATTTTAGTGACACCTGTGCAGGCTGACCATCAATCATCTTTTACAGACCATTTCAAAAGCTATGTTCAAAGCTTCTGACAGGGAAGAGTATCATTACTCTTTGCTCTTGGCAGGATACACATGGTGCTTTTACTCATCACCCCCAATGCGTCTATCTGTGTGGAAAGTCCTATTTGCCTGCCCAGGCCTGTATGGTGGTCTTGGGATGTGGGACAGTGTGGAGGATTCATCAGTTAAAGTCTAATTTGAAGTGCCACCTCAAAGAACACTGATTATAGGGAGTAGGGGGGCTTGGAGAAGGAGCACAAGCCGTCATCCAGGCTATCTGCCAGCCTGCTGTCACTGACTTCCTTCCCACCTGAAAGAATACCATCTACTCTGAGACTCGGATCTCCAGGTTTTCCAGAATCTGGACACACAATCCCTAGGGAAGTAAATCCACTGATCTTTAAAGCTGACCTTTGAAGCTAGGACACAAACTAAATGACTAGCAACTGAATATACGCAAACCAGCCGACTTAGAGAAATATCTACCAGAGGCCTTTGCCTTTTCCTTAAAAGGCACTGAAGCCATCCTTGGGACTTCACTGGATCAGGTGACTAAAGGCTGGAGCCGTGGACATCCCAGCTGCTCCTGCCCCTCTGATACTTGATGTGTGGACTACAGTGAACAGATCAGAGGCCGGAAAGCCAGGAGAGCATGGTTCAGCTGAATCAACATGCAGCCCCACTCAATATCCTTTCCCTGCTACGGCGAAATAAATCTTTTTTAAATGCTGAATGATCTATGAATGTTTCGTTTGTCCTAACAGCAGACAAACCATGAGGAGACCAGCCTAAGTCAGGCCCAGTCAGTGATGGCACTCTTATCTACTGGCTGACCTAAGACACCAGGCACATTTCAGTATTATATGCCATCCAGTCATCCACCCAGGCCATCACACCAGCTGCCGGCACTTATTTACTAAGCATTTACTATGTGCTAGGCACTGTGTCAAGCTCTGGGGATACAAACGCAGCCCTCAGGGAGGTTACCTTCTAACGTTGCTAGAACATAAACACAGAAAAGGGAAGGAGAAGAGGAACCCTGCATGGGGTCATGGTATTAAAGTCTGAAAAGTCAGAAGCATGGCTGGGAAGGGAATGAAGGTTGGCTGGCCTGGGCCATCCCCAAAACAGGCCCTGGGAAAAACTCACCAATGAGAGTAGGGGGCTGGCACAGTGAAGGCATGTTCCATTGTGAGAAGCTCAGAGGGGTAGACGGATCTTCCAGAGTGAGGATGCGCTTGGCACTGAGGGAGATTTCAGGGAGAGACTGGAGCTGTGGTACGGTGTTGAAGTCCAGGAAGTCAGAAGCACAGCCTGGGGGATTAATGAAGATTGGCTAGCCGGGGCCTCTCTCCAAAGTAGAGACTCTGAAGGGAAATCACCAATGGGAGAAGGAGACTGGCATGGTGGAGGGATGGTCCACTGTGTGAAGGTCATGGGGCAGACTGATGTTCTAAGGGGAGGAGGTCTTCTACCTTCTACCATCCCCTCCACCCCGACCCCTTGCTCTAGAACAAAGCCTCCTTCCCCAGTTACCACTTTCCTATATGTGTTAACTTTCCCTATCAGAATGCAAGCTTCTTGAAGGCAGAGACTGTCTGTTTTTAGAAAAAGGAATTGAATCCCTAGCAATCAGCACAGTGCTTGTCACACACAGTAACAACTTACTAATTTTTTTTTCATTTATTCATTCAGTTTACCAAACCCTTCTCTTTTTAAGCTTTCCCCCTCTCCCTTGCTTTCTCCCATGAGGAAATGGCTGCAGCTTTCATCTTTGCGAGGCCAAATATGCAACTCCCTTCCCCACATTTTGGCCACCTACTCACAAGGAATGGGGATTTCTCATCTGGGCTTCTACTAACTGGTTCCACTGACTTTGCAAGAATAAAGCCTCTATAAGCTCTACAAGCTGAAAGAACTCTACAACTGAAAAACATAGAATCTGCAACTGGCTAAAATTCTGTATTGTCCCTACTAGACCATACCTTCGTTCTTCTAATTCTTCTTAGCTTGCTCTTTGAAACTCTCCAGCAACAACCTCTCTAGTTCCTTGGGGGTGAAATCCCCGCCACCTAATGATTCCCCTGGAGGGGGGGAATTCCCCTTCTCTGGGGAAATAGTGGGAATGGGGAGGGTTAAGTAACAGAACAAGCCAGAGGCTCTCTTCTCACCACACTGGGTCCCAATCCTTATCTTAATTCCTGCTCCTGCGCTGGTCCCTTAAAAACCCCAATCTCAGGGAAGTTTAATAATTCTCCAGTGAAATTTCTGTATCCGAGGCCGTCCTTCCTGGCTATAGTCTATCAGTCTTTACCATTTTAGCAATGTCCTTTCAACCTCCAACGAGAGTCCAAACCCACTCTTCTGCCTTTAGTTTGTGGTCCAGAGAAGGCCAAGTTCACTCCCCTCTGCCTCTGATTGCCAAATGCCCAAGGACAAGTTGTTGTCATTTTCCCTACAGTGGTGATACAGCTTTTCAAACACTATTTGTAACAGTGAAGAGAGCCTTAATTGTTCTACTTTCCCTGTCCTGTTCTTTAAGCATCCACAGAGCTTCCCTTACCAGGTAAATAGGTGCTCCTTCCTTACCCCACTGGTTGGGCTTCCCACAGAATAGTCCTGTGACTGGCTCAAGAGTCACCCAAGGCTCTTTCTTCTACACTTTATCCCCCATTCCAATAATGAATTTAACCATTAAGTTACTGCAAACAATACTGCTGGCCAGTGCCAAATATTCTTGGCCAGGCCTAGCTCAGACCAGTCCAGTGAGTCAGACTTGGGATTAGAATGCAATGAGACCCTAAAATGCAATATAAATAACTTTGCTTGTGAAAGACTAAAACAGATGCAATTCCTAGTTAAAATAAAAGGCTATTCTCCCCATTGCCACATTCACCATAGCAATCAGTGATTCTCAGTCAGGAATGCATTCCCACAAAGCAATGGTAATTCCACTAAAACCTCCAGAGCACCAATTTTTTGTCAGCTCAGGATTTTATGCTTCAGAGGGTGAGGAAGCCATGACAAAAAGTGCGGAGGGGAAGAAAACAAGCATTTATTAAGCACCCACTATATGCCAGGCACTGTGCTATGTGCTTTACAAATACTATCATCTGAGGTCCACAACCCCTGGAAGGCAGGTGCTATTATCATCCCCAATTTACATACAAAAAACTGAGGTGGAAAGAGGTGAAGTGACTAGCCCATGGTCACAGAGCTAGGAAGTGTGTGAGACTGGATTTGAACTCAGGCCTTGCTGAATTCAGGCCCAGCACTCTGTACACTATGGGGCCTAGCTGTGGGTAATTCCAATGTTAGTTCCCTGGGCCCACCACATTCTGAGAACAGGCTGCTGGCCCCTTAAAGCAAAGGCATCCCAGTCAGGCCCACACGAGCACCAGGTAAAATGACACTTCCCCCCCCCCACCTGCTTATGCATTCACCACGGCCAACTGCCAGGATAAATCAAAAAGGCATCTGAGAAAAGCTGAGGCAGGGCCCTTCGTGCCTCAGGCAGCCAGGAAGCCAAACACTCAGTCTCCTGGCCTCCTTAAAGGAAAAACTGTCTCACCCACATAAAAATCGGGCTGCTTCTCCCTCAGATGTCTACCACGTGCATATTATTCTCATGAGAATGGTGCAAAGGTGGGAAAGTAGACACATAAGTCAGTAGCTGATGTCTTCTTTGTTGCCATTACTAAGGTCCAAAGAATCAATCAACAAACATTTATTAGGCCCCCTACTGTGTAACACGAGCTGTGCTAAGCACTGGAGGTACAAAGAAAAAGCGCCAATGACAGAAGAAAGGGCCCACGTGGTACGTGATGCTCCCACACAAACGCTCTCTGAGGTTGTAAGAAACTGGAAATAAAGTAGGTGCCCAAAGGCTGAACAAACTGTGATCCACACAAAAACTCACAGGGTTCTAGCACTTTACAGTTATGCTGGGAGGACCCCGGGTAACGCAGGCAGGATCTGAACCTGGATCTTTCTGAACCCAAGTCCCTCTAGCACATAAAGCAATATTACTGAGCCATAAAGACCAAGCAGGAGGAGGAATTCAGCAAAATGTGGAAAGGGTCAGATGAAATGAGGCGGGGTGAAAAAAAGTATCCAAAAGAGAAATAAATGACTTGGAGTCAGGAAGACTGAAGCTCAAATCCTGCCCCAGACGCTCAGTTTCCTCATCTGTGAAATGGGGACAACAGCACTTATGGCATGGGGTGTGATACACTGTATCAATGTGAGCTACTACTAAAATGTTCTTGTTTCTTACAAGGGCTCCAATGGTGGTGCTGGAGGAGCGGGAAGGGGATCACAACTTGGGTATAAAAAGAAAAGGCATAAAACTTTTAAAAAATGACAAACGGGCAGCTAGGTGGCACAATGGATAGAGTACCAGCACTGGAGTCAGGAGGACGTGAGTTCAAATCTGGTCTCAGACACATAGCACTTACTAGCTGTGTGACCCTGGGCAAGTCACTTAACCTCAATTGCCTAAAAAAAAAAAAAAAGACAAAACGAATGAATGGCCACAGGAGGCGGAGGCAGAGCCAGAGAGCACTGGCCTGTCTGCTCTCTGGAGGCCCCTCCTCCTCCATCACTGCAGGGGTGCAGGAGGAAGGAGAGGTCAGCACTTTCTAGGGGAGAGGAAGAGGAGACTGCAGGCCAAAGAATGTGGCCTCTAGTCCCCAGGCCTGGGGAGCTTCCTGCAATGACCACACAGGCCATGGCTTGGTAAGCAATGATGGCTGTGCCCGGCTGGGCTTGCTCACCTGCAAAGCTGTTTCTCGGGCTTTCTCCCTCTGGAATCCAAGGGGCTTCTCCTTGCTCCAACTGGTGGATTACATCAGGTTTGGACACTGTAAGTCCTGTTCATTGAATATGGGACAGAGAACCAGCAAAGAGCTGAGAATTCAATCCTGGGCCCCGCACCTACGAGGATCAGGGGGGATGCAACAGTCTCACAGAGGGTAAGCAGGCCTCTGGAGGATTACTCTGTAGGGGCCAGGTAGCAAGTATTAAAGAAAGGGTTGGAGAATGGACGTGGGTGGAGAAAGAGAATCTATCTGACAGACACACTCCCAGCTGAGAGGATGGGAACCATTCGTGAATTTGGGTTTCTGTACTAGGACTGGGGAGAATTGCTTGGGGAACAGAGGATAGAAGAGCTCAAACTCTAGGGCGACAGAGAATCACCTTGTTAGGGTCTTGATGTTTAAAGCAAAGTTTTTCATCAGCAAAGAGGTAACATCCATATCCTATGTCTCTTCGCTATAAAAGGATTGGCAATGTCTGGTTTTTACATACAAAATAATTGCTCAACACTTGATTGTTCCATACGGGAAGAAATAAAGCCCCTCTGCTGAGTCCTGGGGGCAGCCCCCTCCTCACCCAGGCACACCAGGTTCCTGAAGTTCTCCAGCATCACGTCCCGGTAGAGCTCCTTCTGGAAGGGGTCCAGGTGCCCCCACTCTTCCAGGGTGAAGTCCACGGCCACGTCCCTGAAGGTCACAGAGCCCTAAAACAACAAACGCATCTGCGCTGACCCCAGGACCACCCCTCACAAAGTCCTAGTGGGAGGCACGGTGTTGGGAGGAAGGGTACAGATTAGTTCGTTCCCAGGACTCTTCAGGCTTCGGGGCATCTGAAGTGAGACAGGCATGGAATTCCCGCAGTAGGATTCGGCCTGGACTGGACTCTGAATCATCAGACCAAGCAATGATAATAGCGAGGAGAGCTCGCGTTTCTAGTGCAGTTTTCAAGGACTCACGGCCCTGTGAAGCAGCAAAGTCAGCGCGCGTCCACCATCCCCCTATCGTAGGCTCTCCCCTGCGCCCCGCACTCAGCTGTCTCTGCAAGAACGGGGCCCGAACCCTAGCTTCTGTTTCCCAGTCTATGGTCCCTCCCCAGTACCACACTCTCTCTTGCTTCATTAACTCATCGTTTCATTGTTAAACTCCCAGATTGTGTACTGGAGATTATCAGCAGCCGTCACATAATCCAGATGAAGAATTCAAGAAGACAAAAAGGAGGACTGACAAAGCAGAAAAATACAAAATGGGACAATCTCATGGAAGTAGTACGGCAGCTTAGGCAGATTTTTCAAATTGCAAAAATGGAATAAAAATCAGAGGAAACTTTTTAAATGGCAGAACCAGATGATGGCCTCAGATCTCTATAAAATAAAGCAACAGAACTGAAAGACAAAGGTCAACCAAACATTCTAAGCAATGTTAAGATTTCAGAAAACTATGAAGAAACAAAATCTGAATCATACAAGCCAGGTAATAAAATATAAGAAAACTGCCCAGAAATAATGGAAATAGAAGGTAGAATGCAAACAGAATTCACAGAACTAAGAGTAATCCTGAGTTTGCTAACCCACAAATGCAGTCATCAAGTTTCAAAGCTTCAAGGTCAAGGAGAGGTTCTTATGAGCAGCTAGGAGTAATCAATTTACACATCAATACCACCAATTTGAATTTCCCAAGTTTATCCAATGAGGACAAGGAGATGAAGAAAAAAAAAACTACAACAGGATATAGTGAAAAGCAAGGGAAAACAGTCTACTTTATCAGATAATCAATCATGCACAACTGGGTATATCCCACCAAAGGAAATTTTTCTTTTCAATTAGGTCACAAATTTTAATTCCTTGCTGTTAACTCCAGAAATGGGCAGATCTGGATATTCCAACTGACCAATGATATTTAACCAATTTAACCAATTAAAGTAAGGAGGTGAGCATGACTATATATAGGTGAACTTGATGCAAGGAAGTAACAAGATTATGGCTGCTTTGAAGATACATTTGGTATCAAGGTCACTGAAGAAATAGGTTATTCTGTTTTTCCAATGCTACTCAAACAGTTTGGCAGAAATGAAAACTTTTAGACCAGTATCTAACATTATATAGCATGATAATGGACAAAAGGATAAATGATCTAAATACTTTAAAAATCATACTATAAAAAAAATTGAAGAAAAATGTGAGAGAAACCTACAGGAAAGAATTCATTTATGGACAAAGCTTAAGGAACATTATATAAGAGACAGATTTCTTTATATGAAATTAAAAGGCATTTGTACAAACAAAAATCAGTCCAGCTATAACAGGAAAAAAACTTTATGAAGTGGAGGAAAATATTTTTTCTAAGATCACCGATAAAGGTCTAATACCTAAAAGAGAAGGGGCATTACCATGAATAGATAAGACTAAGTCATTCTCATTAGACAAGCTGATGAAGTATATGAAGAAACAGACAAATTATCAACAATTATTCCAAGTCATTACAGAGAAAAATGAAAATTAAAACACCTTTGAGGTATCATCTCAAACCCAAACAAGCAGCAAAGAGTATATGGACTGAAAAGGGAAATACTGGAGGGACTGCAGGCAGATTGCTGGATGTACTCATTACTGGTCTAGCTGTGAACTGGTCCCACCTTCCCTGAAGATAAATGGACTGTGCAAGAAATGTAACTCCCATTTCAAACTCTCTGATCTAGCAATCTCGATTCTAGGCTTATACGTCAAGGTGGTCAATGACAGTGGAGTAAATACTGTCCAGACTGCTCTCTCAGAGTTAGGCTTCCACTTCTCTCCCCTCGGGGTACCCTGAAGGCCTTGGCCAGGCTCCTCTCTAATGATACTGACTCAACCCCCACCAGTTGTTCTTCCCCACTTCAATGATTAGCATCTCAGTTCCATTTATCCACTTTACATCAATTAGTTTTTATAGAAGAATATTTACTTCAAAGATAAGGTTAGAACAGAAGTACAAGCATTTCCCCCAAACATCTCAGGGGCACTCTCTCCCCTATTCCACCTCAGTCTCTGGGGAAAGTGGCCCCAGACTTAGCACAATTTCTACAGAGCACTGCTCCCACCAGACTCATGTCCAGATGAGGCACGATTGCTAGATGAAACTTCTTTTATGGTACCACTAGGTTGGTCCTGAAAGTCTTTCCCTGTTCCTTGGGACATCAGGGCTGGGCTGGTTGGAAAACCCAGCATAGACTCTAAATCCTAGATTCCTAGACCCCCGGAGGCTTGCTCTCCCGACCTCTCAAACTCACGAGTTTGAACCTTCCAGATTAATCTCCTTCAAACCAAACGGAAAAGAAAAACAGCAAGGGCAAAGGACCAAAGCCGGTTTTCACAGGGCCTTATGTCGGCCTTGAAGGGGAGAGCCCAAGGCCTCATCCCTGACAATCCTGTCTCTCACGGGAGGCCATCAATGAGGAGTTAAACCGAGAGAAAGGAAGGCAAGAGACTAGACAAGCTTCCAGTCACTTCGTGCTTTCTGAAGGCACCCTCAGCTCTGCTTCTACAGCTGCAAGCAGGCGGGGAGAAGATCAGAATCAGTCACAGCCCAGGCAGACGCCAACGCTTCTCCCCAAACAGGCTCCCAGCCTCCTTCTCACGAGGAGGCACCATGCCAGTCACTCAGCACACACGCCAGTCTCCATGACAGCAGAAAGAAAGTGCCTACGTGTAACCCAATGTCCTAACAGCACTGTTTGTATCAGCCCAATTACTGGGAAGGTTCAGCTGGAATATCCCCGTGCCATAAGGAATGACAGATACAGTGAATCTGGAGAAACATAGGAAGACTCCTATGAACTGATGCAGTCCAAAGCAGGAAGCAAACCAGCACAGAGACCACACTCACAGGCCACGAGACCTTGGGTTCAAATGCATCATCGATCCCAAACGACTGAAGCTAAAGCACGCAGCCTTGCCTTCCTGCGATAAACAGTAAGACACAAAGAGGGAGAGCTGAAATCATGGCAACGTGGAGTTTCGCTTGGCTTTTTGTTCCTAGCAAAGTAATAACAGGGTAAAGGGACTGTGGTATCAAAACAAAATGTCCGAAAATAAGCAGAACAATAACAAAGGCTGGGAACTTCAGGAAGGAGCACAAACAGAATAAGATCATCTGCAACACGAAGGGAGAGTTAAGGCCGAAGAAGGACTGGTAAAAAAGCATTTCTTGAATTCAGTCGAAGGATTTTTGGGTTGGAGGACATGAAATATAGGACCTTTCTCACATAATTCCAGATTGTTTTCCTGAACTGTTTGACCCAGTGGTTTAAAAAACAAACAAACAAGCCAAAAAATAGCCCTGCCAGGAAAAGAATATTTAGTGAGCCTGTCTTCTAACACTGACAATTCTGTCTCCAGTCAACTGTGCAGTCCCTTTGGTTTGTTTTAACTTTTCTTACTATTAGTGATCTGGAACAATGTTCAAGATACCATGGACAATATTAAGGGATTAAAAAAAGGTAAAATGTCTTATGATTAAAGGCCTGGTAGATAATAAAATGCTATTAGGTATAGGATGCCAAAAGTGACATTTCTAAACTGAGAAAGTAGCAAATGAAAAATGGTATAGCTAATAAGACACTAAATCTAGACAAACTTAATTTTCTATCCTCAGAGCCTAACATGACCAAGGGAAAGACAAAAGAACATTACAGATTAATAAAATGTTGAAAAAATGAGTTTGCTAGCCCAATGGAGATTTCTAAATGGGAAGCCTGAAGAATATACAACCCTAATGTGGTTGTCGTTCAATCATTTCAGCAGAGTCTGACTCTTCATGACCCTATTTGGGGTTTTCCTGGCAAAGACGCTGGAGTGGTTGGCCATTTCCCTCTCTGGCTCATTTTACAGATGAGGAAACTGAGGCAAATAACAGTTACGTGTCTTGCTCAGGGTCACACAGCTAGTAAGTGTAAACCCAGATTTGAACTCAGATCAGAAGGAAATGGCAAACCACTCCAAATCTTTGCCAAGAAAACCCAAATGGAGTAGCACAGTTGGACATGACTGAAACAACAATTTTCTGACTCTAAGCCTAGTGCTCTATCCACTGAGTCACCTAGCTGTCTCCTCAATGCCCCTCTTAGACACCCACGAATGTTACGTGGTGAGTAACCAAAGGCTAGAGCATGAAGAATTTAAAACAGTGCAGACTGGCAGGAACTGAAAATATATCCTCAGCAGGTCATAACAGAAACACTTCAACCAATAAAGAAAATGTGATGCAACAGAACATGGAGATTAAACTATGACATCCAATGTAGTGAGCAGGTTGGCTAGCCTGTCAGAAGCACAGACCACATTAAAGTCTCTCAGGAAAGAGCACCCCCTTACCTGCTGGGTCTGGGCTGTCAGGTAGACAGGGGCCATTCCTTTCACTTTAAAGTAGCTGCCTCTTGAGGAAGGGCTTCGTCGTCAGAGGGCACAGCTGGGGAAGAAAGGGAGCTATCAGAGAAAAACCAGCCTTCCCCTGCACCCCCCCCAAGCACCTGAAATCCACTCACCCTCTTGAAAGGTCAGAAGATCATAAAGAGCACATTCTCAACTCAACAATTCAATTAAAAAAATATTAAGTGCCTAGCATATAAAAGGAGCTGGGTAGTCAGAGACAAAAAAGAAAGTCCATCAGGAAGCTGAGACTCCAGCGTCAGGATGAGCACTGACAGCAGCCAGAACAGGGGCAGGAGGGCCATCCTCTCCCACCCACCAAAGACAAACCCCCAAATCAGCATCAGACCAAATAGCATGCAAGAAAGCACAAGAAAGCCCAGGAGAAACTACGATTGATGACTTCTCCCCACCTAGATCTGCACAGAACATCAGCCAGAATCCCATGGGCACAGGCTAGCATCTCCTGGAGCTTACTGAATAATGTGGTGCCAGGGTCAGAGCGGGGCTTTAGAAAGATGACCAAGAGCTGGGTGGAGGAGGAATGGGGCAGGGAGAGACGTGAGGCAGGAAGACCTCATGGCAGCCCTTCCAACTGTCCAGGTGAAAGGTGAGGAAGAGGAGACAGTGCAAGAGATGCTACAAAGCCAAAGCCAACAGGATGTGGCAACAGGTGAGAATGAGTGGTCACTCACTCAAAAAACATCAAGTGCCTACTGTGTGCCAGGCATTGTGCTAGATGATAGAGGGCCATGAAATACCAAAGCCCTATACCTCAAAGATCCAGGGAGGCCTGAAGATTATCCGTGTTCTCTTGGTGTGGACTCACCTCGTCATTTACAGGGCAGCAGAGGAACCCAAGAGAGCCAGGTGAGCACCACGGAGAGATGACCAACCCACCCAACGGTACAGCAAAAGAATGAGCCTGGTCCTGGCAAGCAGTAAACACTTAAATGTCTGTGGACCGAAGCAAAACTGGAGATGTGAGTAAACATTTTACCGGGGGAATAAGTAAAGATAAGGTAATATGTAGGAGGTCAGTACCAAGGAGTTGGCACAAGAGTTGAATCAGGAGGGAAGACGAAGAAGGTAAAAGCCTCAGCAGAGAAGGGAATGAGATTCAAAGCTAACACATGAATGGCAGTCAGAATCTACAGGGATTTGGACAATGCTGAATCTAATAAAGTGAAATTCAACAGGGATAAATGTAAAGTCATACCTGGGAATAAAAAATCAGCCTCACAAGACAGTAATAATAGCTAGCATTTAAATAGTATTGTAAGATTTGTAAAGGGTCATTTAATCCTTACAACCCTGTGAGGTAGGTACTATGACAACCCCCATTTTACAGATGATGAAACTAGGGCTGAGGATGGTTGGATAACTTGCTCGGAGTCACATTGCTCATATCTGAGGCAGGATTCAAACTGGGTCTTTCTGAATCAGTCTGCCACTGTCCATTATGCCACCTAGCTGCCTAAGCTGGAGGAGGCATGAGCAGACAGGAGTTATTCTGAAAAAGATCTGGGGGTTTCAGTGGACTGCAAGCTCAATGAATCAGCAGTGTGACACAGTAGCCAAAGATACTAATTTGATCTTGCGTTGCATTAAAAAGGGCAGAGCTTCCAGGAATGGGGGGGGAGGGAGGTCAAATCTCATCTGAAATATCATATTTAGTTCTGGGCACCACAATTTAAAAAAGATATTGATAAGAGAGTGTCCAGGGGAGGGCAGGCAGGATAGGAAGGGTCTGAGTCCATATCACCTAATTTTCAAGTATCTGAAAGGCTGTCATTTGTAAGAGAGATGAGATGGATTTTGTTTGGCCCCAGCTATATATGGAAGTTGCAAAGACGTCAACTTAAGCTTGATGCCAGGAAAGCTTTCCTAACAATTATAGCTGACAAAAATCGAAAGAAGCTGCCTTAAGAGGTAGATTTCTTCTCCTTAGAGGTCTTCAAGCCAAAGCTGGATAACACCTGTCAGGTATATCAGAGTGGTGGTTCCCTTCCCATCTGGGTTGGCATAAATGGTCACCGAGCACCTTCCAACTCTCAAATTCTGTAAAGTAGTTCCAGCAAAACTACTTGGCATGCAAAGGTCTCTGATATTTTATGTATTTTCTACACCCATAGTCCCCACCACTGCAGACCTGGAAAGTTGGTGCATTTTTTCATTTTTTCTGGGTAGCTGGGTCATAACTATACAGCACTGTTTCTTTGTTGTTCTTTAAATTTGCATTGTTGGCATTATGCATATTATATTTATTCTATAAACTTACATGTGTTGTTTCATCCAATACAATGCAAGCTTCATTTCAGGATGGAGGTTCAATTATTTTTTGTCCCACCATCCCTAGCCCACAGCACAATGCCTGGCACACAACAGGTGCTTATGACATACTTAATGATTGGTAGATTATCGCTATTATCAGCTATCCCAAGCCAAATAACAGTGGGGAAGGCCAGGGTGTTTCTTCTAGTTGGTGGCTCTGAAAGCACACCCTTCACTGAATACCTAAAGGAGCCCTGATCTCCCTGATAGGGAAATGTGCACCCACTGGGCAGATTCCGACTCATCTAAGCCTGGGGAGGGCCCTGCCCGGGGCCTGGGCCACACCCAACACGCCAGAGGTCTTCCTCGCTTCTCTGGCCCTCCAAAGGGCACCCGGGGACCTCGGGCTGTCCGGCCGTCACTGTCCATTGGGTGTGACCGTCACCTCTCCTCCTGGGGGGCGGCCCCACCTCGGGCTCCGGGCCGCAGCCCCCGTTTCACTGGCAGGACATTGGCATAACAACGAGGGCGGGGCGGAGCCCTTGCAGGGGGGAGGGGGAGGCCCCGCAGGCCCAGACACTTCGGGTCCAGACGCCGGGCTGGGGCCTCGATGTGGGTGGGGGGTGGGGAGGGGATTGGTCATCTGGGCAGGCCGTAGGCTACGGCCCGAGGGGGCGGCCACAGCCCGCTGCTCCGCCCCCGCCCGTCCCCCGAGGCCCGACGGGGGCCACCCCGCACAAAATGGGGGCGCCGGGGGCGGGACCAGGTGCGGCTCAACTGAACGGAGAGAGCGAGCTGTGAAAGAGCGCACGCGCGCCCGGACCGGAGGCGGGACAGAGAAGCAGCGCCGCCGCTGATTAGCTAATTATACCATTTCCCCTCCCCCACCCGGCTGACCAATGGGCTCCGAAACCAGGTGATGGGCGCCCCGCCCCTCCCGCCCCCCGCCCGGCCCCCTAGCCCAGCCTCGGGCCCCTACTCACCCCAGCCCGAGGCGGACGCAAGGCTGGGGCCCCGGAGGTGGCGGCGGCTGAGGACGGAGCGGAGCCGAGACGGTCGCGAGCGTACCCAAGAGTTCAGGAGCCCAGAACGGCGGGGCCCGGACGAACGGGGCTGACGGCGGCGCCGCCGAGGATGGGGATCTAGCGGAAGTGACGTCAGGGACTCTTCCTCACGCTCTTTCTGGCCCTGCCCATCACGGCTCCTGGACCAATCCGGGGAAGAGTCTTTCCGACCGGCCCCCCCCTCGCCCTGGTTTCCTTGGTAACCGCCGACTGAGTAGTGAACGCCTTCTGGGAAATGTAGTGCGCAGGCCAAGGGCGCCGTGTGCTCATGCTCAGCAGAGTGGGGCTGAGGAACAGCAGCTGGGAGTCGGGGCGGAGGCTCAGGCCTGGGGGGTCCCGCGCGGCCCCGCCTTTCCTGGAAGCGACCCGCGGTTCTCCAGGCCCGCTTCACTCGGTGCTGGGGGTCCGCAAGGCCCCTGCAGCCCCAAATCTCCTGGGGTGGGGGGGGGCCCTTCAGGGCCATCATCAGGCTCGGGGGAAGCCGGCCCTGGACGGCGGAGCCCCAGGACGGCCCCACTGCCAGCGAGGTCCGGGTCCGAGACGGCCACGGCGGCTACTTAGTGATGATGAGGATGAGAAGACTGGCATTTACAGGGTGCCTACTGTGTGCCGGGGGCGGGAACGGGCTGTTATCGCCCCCATTTTATAGATGAGGAAACTGAGGCAAACAGAGGTCAGGTGACTTGCACCGCTAGGACGTGTCTGAGGCCACGTTTGAACTCGCGTCATCCTTCCCCCTCCCGCACCCCCATCCAGATGCCTCCTTTCTTTTGTCTTTTTGGTGTTAATCTGGGTTAAGTGACTTGCCCGGGTTCACACAGCTAGTAAGTATCAAGTGTCTGGTCAGAGGTCAAATTTGAACTCGGGTCCTCCTGACTCCAGGTCTGGTGCTCTATCCACTGCCCCACCTAGCTGCCCGGAGATGCCTCTTTTCTAACAGGGGCATCTAAGGCGTCTAATGATGCTCTGGTGGGGATGGGGACATAGGCCTCCCAAGGATCATACAGAATGATCGATAATGGCTTCTCCCAAATACCAGGGCAGTCATCCACAATAACCCCAACCCTACAGGACTCCCAGTGAAAGAGACGGAGGAGGGCCAGAAGGAAAGGGAGAAAAAGAACAAAGCCGAGCTCTGCTATCAGGCAGGAGGAAGCGCAGGGGCCTCCCAGACCCAGGGGATTTGAGGCAGACCTCCACCTTCTCTCTTCTCACCCTCCTAACAGTCAGAAATGTGCCTGCACTGAATGGCATCTGTTTTGTCCTTTCCCCCCAACTGTTTGCCTTCTTCATTAAGTCATTAAATGTTTGTGTACCTGGCTGTTCTGAGCTAGGGCCTGGAGCTTTCACAGGCCTTGCATGGATATTCGAGGACACTTCCTGGCTCTGTTCTTTTTAGTGGAGGAGAGCCAGAAGCAGACCACTGTGGGGAAACAAAAGTAAGGGTGACCGCTCATGACAAAGTCAGCTTAGAGAAGACTTTTGACTGGACACTTAGAGTCACCAGGGCCAGCAACACCATGATGCTACCAGTGCCTAAACCATGGGTGGGGAACTTGAGGTCTTGAGGCCACATGTGGCCCTCTAGGTCCTCAAGTGCGGCCCTTTGATGGAATCCAAACTTCACAGAACAAATCCCTTTACTAAAAGGCCACACTTGAGGACCCAGAGGGCCACACTGGCCTCAAGGCCTGAAGGTTCCCCACACCTGGCCTAAACTCACTCCTGAGCTTCTGCTGGAGGCTACAGAGGTATCAAGCCTTCATCTCCACTTGAAATTCAGTCCTCCATTATCAACTGCCTGTCAGACATGTCTACATTCTTCCTTTTTCTCCAGGCTGCACTCCTCAGACTCCTCCACCATGTCTTCATCTTGCAAGGTCACATCAGCCCTGGTACTCACATGTGGGGGCATGTGGTAGGCACTAGATAATGCTTATTCCTTTCCCTCCCCCCTTCCCCTCTGCCCTGGGGCTCTCTCTGATTGAAGGATAGAGTGTAGAGCGCCTCCCAGAACTTTCATTGAAGGCAGGCACCCAGGTCAGCTGTTTCTTCTTTTCCCAGCTGGCTGTACTCCTGACTTCTCCATCCTGCCACCAGTACCTTCCCTCCCTACCCCACCATTGCCTTCCCTGTCAGATTGTAAGCTCCTTGAGGTCAACAGCTGTGTCTCTGTGCTTAGTGCCTGACACATAGTAGGTGCTTAATATATGTCTGCTGACTACCTGCATGTCCCATCAGACGTCTACCAGAGTAGGTAGGCTAGAACATTGGCCTAAGCCAAATAAGATGAAATTAATATAGATAGATGTAGAATTCAAGATGGCGCTAGGTGGTGCCATAGTGCACCGAGCACTGGGCCTGGAGTCAGGAACACTCATCTTCACGAGTTCAAGTCTGTCTTCAGACTCTTATTAGCTGTGTGACCTTTGGTAAGTCACTGAACTCTGTTTGCCTCAGTTTCCTCATCTGTAAAATGAGCTGGAGAAGGAAATGGCAAACACTCCAGTATCTTGGCCAAGAAAACCCCAAATGACTGAACCATAAGAACAGCACTCACGAAGTCAACTTCCCGAGTATAAAATGGGGGGGGGGTACTTGTCCAGCCACTGCAACGTTTAGGCTGTGAGTTCAAATGGCCTGGGTAGTCATAGCTGTGGCTTTTCCAGTGGTAACATACGGCTGTGAGAGTTGTACTACGAGAAAACTGAGTGCCACAGAATCAAAGCTTTTGAATTGCAGTGCCAGAGGAGATTTTTGAGAGTCCTTTGGACAGCAAGGAGATCAAATCAGTCAACACTTCCAGAAATAAATTCAGACTGCTCACTGGAATGTCCAATACTGAAGCTTAAACACTTTGGCCACGTAATGAGAAGACGGGACTCATTGGAAAAGCCCCTGATGTTGGGAAAGATTGAAGGCAAAAGGAGAAGGGGATTGCAGAGGAGGAGATGGATGGATGGTGTCACAGAAACAATGAACGTGAATGAGTGTGGACAGACTTGGAGAGAGAGTGGAGGACAGGAGGACCTGGCATGCTTCATGGTTCATGGGGTCATGAAGAGTCAGATGTGATGGAACAACGAAAAAGGTCAAATGAAGCCGTCGGTGTTATGTCATAGCTAACAATAATGATTCTTATTCACAATCACCAGGATGTAACATTGACCCTTAAAAACTTAAGAACAATGTTTTCAATAGATATCACTCACCACACCAAATGTTCATAATCTCCAAACTATGGGGAATGAAAAGCTTCCAGAATAGAGAGATTAGCAGAGAAGATCAAAATCTTGGGGGACCAGAATGAGGCACAGATCATCCCAGCTGTCCTGCTTTCTACCCAAATTGAACCATGGATGCTTCAGCACCTTTCCTCAGTTGCAAAGGGCAGTTCATTTATCTATCTGTGCAACAGTCCATAGAAGAGTAAGTATGAAAGAACTATGGCAGGATGGCTACTTGTCCTGTGGCCATTTCTGTTTGAGCCTCCTTGAAAAAGATCAGAATAAAATAATACCAACTTCGATGACTATATAATTCTTTTTAGGAATGAGCAGGGCTCCCTGAGTCTACTCCTCTCTAGAGCTTAACTCTTTTTTTAAAAAAAATATATAAATTTATTTATTTTTAGTTTTCAACATTCACTTTCACAAGTTTTTGAGTTCCAGATTTTCATCCCATCTCCCCCCTCCCTTACCCCAAGACATCATGCATTCTGAATATCCCTTCCCCTAGTCTGTCCTCTCTTCTATCTCTCTCCCCTTCCCCTTCTATTTTCCTGTAGGGCAGGATAGACTTCTGTACCCCATTTCCTATATTTCTTATTTCCCAGTAGCATGTGAAAACATTTTTTTAAACATATGTTTTTAAAACTTTAGGTTTCAAATTTTCTCTCTTCCTCCCTCCCCACCCACTCTCATTGAAAAGGCAAGCAACTCAATATAGGTTGTACATGTGCAGTTATGCAAAACACTTCCATAGTAGACATGTTGTGAAAAACGAACTCTATTTCCCTTAATCCTATCCTGCCCTCCCATTTATTCTATTCTTTCTTTTGACCCTGTCCCTCCTCAGAAGTATTTACTTCTGATTACCCCTTTCCCAATCTGCCCTCTTCTCTATCATCCCCCTGCTCTCTTGTCCCCTTCTCCCCCTATTTTCCTGTAGGGTAAGACAGATTTCCATACCCAATTGAATGTGTATGTTATTCCCTCCTTAAGCCAAATCCTATGAGAATAAGATTCACTCATTCCCTCTCACCTTCCCCGTTTCCCCTCCACTGTAAGAGACTTTTCTGTTTTTTTTGTGAGATAATTTACCCCATTCTACCTCTCCCTTTCTTCTTCTCTGAGTATAATCCTCTCTCATCCCTTAATTTTATTCTCCAGATATGACCCCTTAATCTTCAACTCACCCTGTGCCCTCTATCTATCTATCTACATACATACATATAATTTTTTTCCTCCAACTACCCTAATACTGACAAAGTCTCATGAGTTATAAATATCATCTTTCCATGCAGGAATGTAAACAGTTCAATCTTAATAAGTCTCTTATGATTTCTCTTTCCTGTTTACCTCTTCATGTTCCACTTGAGTCCTGTATTTGAAAGTCAAATTTTCTATTGCTCTGGTCTTTTCATCAGGAATGCTTGAAAGTCCTCTATTTCACTGAATGACCATTTTTTCCCCTGAAGGATTATACTCAGTTTTGCTGGGTAGGTGATTCTTGGTTGTAATCCTATCTCCTTTGCCCTCCGGAATATTATATTCCATGCCCTGCTCCTTTAATGTAGAAGCTGCTAAATCTTGTGTTATCCTGATTGTGTTTCCACAGTACTTGAATTGTTTCCTTCTGGCAGCTTGTAATATTTTCTCCTTGACCTGGGAACTCTGGAATTTGGCTACAATATTCCTAGGAGTTTTCCTTTGGGGATCTCTTTCAGGAGGAGATTCTTTCAATTTCTATTTTGCCCTCTGGTTCTAATATATCAGGGCAGTTT